CCGGTGACCGTTATACAATTTAAAATCAGTTTGCATTGTTTACTATAGCTGTTTACAGTGTTCTAATCATTACGATTTACTTATTTTTTTGCTTCCATTCTAGATAATTATGCTCAGTGATGTAAAATTGAAGCGATGACTGAATGAACGAACCTTGGTTGGCGAAGATGTATCTGGAAGTGTACACATTTGATGGAAGTGAAAAAAATATTCAATGTAATGACAAAAATTGTAAAATGCTGTGGAATTTCTTTTGCAAATAAAAATATACTAGCAATTTTCTATTAATGGTTTATTCGAGTGGACAAAATATAATGTACAGAAAGACAGAGTAGAGTATCGCGACACTGAAAAGTAAGCAACTGACAGCCTGTATAAAAGGGGGGCTGTGATTGGCTGTTACTTATGCGAGATTTGAACGGGACTTACATAGGCGTCGGATCAGATGTAGGTAGGGCAGAATAAAAAAAAAATCAAAGTAAAATAATAAAATAAAAGGGCATTAATAACAAAAGTAATAAAAAATAAAATAAAATTAAGTTTATAGCCACAATAGTTAAAGCCCGTACACTACATCAGATTTTAATCAGATTGAATGCAATGAACATTTGGTAATTTTTTTATAAAGGGCAACTTTATGCAATAACATTTTAGTTTATTAAAAGATAGTTTGTTCACATGGGCGAAATCTCGCTTGGAATAGAAATTCAATAGTTTCAGTTTCCAATTTGATTTCATGTGGATTCATAAAGATTCGCCTATGTCTCTAATTAGTGTAACACAGTAATTCAGCACTAGTACGAATGCAACTTTTTCAATACACACGTATTCAGATTACAGTAACAAGATCCAAATAAAGTTCTGAATAACTTCAGAATTTTCAAGTCAATGCCCAGTTACCTACATGATTGTGCCCGATTGGCTAACCAACCGGAGCAACTTTGTTAATATAATCAAATTCTGCATACGCTTTGAATCAATTTTCATGTGTAATAGCATGATCTAGCAATGAAGACAACAGTGTACATCTGTGCTCGTCCTCACATTTTTATTTATCTACACAAAAGATTGCTGCAAACAAAATTAGGTAACAAAACTGTACCACTAGTAAATCTCTAATAAACAAAAATACAGAAACTATTGGGGGGATGGTGAAATTTTCAACAGTACAGTGAACTTTTGGTAAGTTTGTAGAATACAAAAATCGCTGGAAAGTACAACTAATTTGAATATATCTATTCTTCTAAAAAAACAGTTTCTTTGCAATGAGAGAAAAGAATATGCAAATCAAAGAACTTGCAGTGAAGGTCAAAGGTCACTTGCAGAGAACACGTTGAACAATTTCTGTATACATTTATTCCTAGAATCAAAGTCACCCAATTTATCCATTAAAATGTTTACGCAAAGATGTAGAAAACAAATGCCAGTCTGGATCAAAGGCACCTTCAAAACCGATTTTTATAAACTACTTTGTGGAACTTTTACTGGTCAAAAAATGGAAACAGTTTATTGAGACGATCCCTTCCTTGTTTTTCGGTATCAGCTTGACTTTCACGCTACATAATATAATGATATTGACTTAACAGAGGTAGCTGACAACACCCTATATCAATGTCAACGAAATCGCTCGCACTTGCATCTCAGTATTCCACTATGGACTAACATCAAATTTTTCAGCTTTGCAGTGGATAATGATGGACGTTAACACATCTGAGGAAAGCACTGTGAAATGTGCTGCTGAAACATGAATTGCTCATTAATTTTGATCTGTTAACATGCATTCAAAGTTTAAATATGAACACAGATATTTGTTTACATTGATTAGTAAAGTTGTCTGAAATGAACATGATTGAAATTCTGCTGTACAATACCTGGATGCCCTGTGGTCAAAAACACAGTATACAACTACTAGTATACAATAAACCCCAACAAAACAAAATTAGAGAAAAAAATGGCAGCAGCAGTAGCAGCAGAGTTAGATAATTCTTAATTGTGTTCAACCTTACATTAAAACTTAGATGAACTTGAATGAACATTAGAACTAGAAACTGGCCAGATACTGGAAAGACGTAAAGGAAATGGCAACGCAAACAAAACGTGTACATGACCTTTGAACTCCACATTTTGGAACACTAGACAAGAAGCACTTGATTGATAAAAAGGACACAAATTTTAGTATATCTAAAATGGAACATTGTGATATGTGGGAAGTAGATAAGAGTGAAAGACGCAGTCATAGTTTTGGAGAAAACTAAGAGTGAAGCTTTTCACGCATACACAGCATCATTTTCCAGCGAGGTCCCGATCAGCTCTTCGAGACCACTCCTAAATTCTTCTTTTAAAAATAAACCTACACAGCACTCAATAATGGAAAAATTATTACGCCATTGTTGCATTCCTCAATTTTAGTATTTGCTTTCTTTCTGTTTATTTCAGCACAACTGCTTGGATCCAATAATTACCACTCTCATCAAAACAAAACACCAACTTTGGGAAAAACTGACTTTGGTCGCAATAGTTAAATCCAGTAAAAAGTCCGCTGAGAAGGAATCCTACTTACGCTAAATATTCATCAAAAAGGCCTCGAATTTCTCATTAGTCGAAAAATAAAGCCTTTTAGTACTCGTCCTACTGTACCTTTTTTTTTTACTTGAAAATACATGCTTTCGTGTGTAGACTATAAAATTTGCCATACACAAGAGCTACCTGTGTATGTATATATGTCCTTCAATATAGAAACCAAGTACTAGCATTACTACATACGTTATACATGATATGATAAAACACCTAGGAAAGATCTATCATTTGCCCATCTACTATATAACAATTAATGGAATGCAATAATCTATCAATTAGGGAGGAAATTTTTTTTTTCTTTTTTTTTTTAAATCTTTTTTTTAAACAGCTCTACTTTCTACTAACATTTCTTTTTCAAGTATACCTGATAGCTAGAACTTCTTCACATTAACACAGGTGTACAAATTTAGCCGAAAACAAGGACACATCTTGTCTTTCTTCTTTTTTAACAGGACCAATACAAGACAACGTTGCAACAAAGTTGAAGATTGAATTTTTTTTGTACAAAAAAAAAATCTTTGGTTTGGTCGCATTTCTGAAACTGAACACACCAGTGACTTTCACTGAAATTAAGCCACTGTGTTGTTTTTTTGCCAAAATGATTGAAACTTTTTTTTGCAGCTGAACGAACTACATGATTTAAAAATGGAAGCAACATGATTCAGCCATGATTTTTGTTAATTTTTTTTTTGAAAATTGAACTTTTTTTTTAATCATTTCACGTTCACCCATGAGGAGAGTAGACCAACAAGAGGTAGTTTGTTGATTCGGACACAAGACTGGGCTGGCAGGTCTGTTGTCCGTTCATCAATGTGTAATTAAAAACGCAATCACCCAAATTGTTCTGCCAATACATGAAGGATCAATTATTTCAAGAAACTATGATTGAAATAACAGAATAATAATATTACATGGCCGCAGTACAAAAATTAACGTTGAATTATTGAAATTGTTGGAGATACAAACACATTCTAGTACTCAATAATAATAAATGCAAAACAGATGCAAATGATAATCTAACGAGTATTCCCTAAAAAACAACAACATATTTTTGCATAACCACTCATGCAAAAAACAAACACTACTTTATCGGGAAGCATCATAGGGAAAAAAAAGAGATGCACAAATTGAATGTGTCTGCATAAAAACTTGTAGCAACAAAAAGCTCCTGGGTAATTCCACTGGTCACTTCACGGGCCAGTACGGGCAAAAGCGTAATCTGCTTGCTGTGCGATTTATGACCCTTCTACCATGGCTTGCTTTCAAACCAATATACAACTGCCATTGGGCAAGGTCTGTAGGCGCTGGCGAGGTCCAAATTAACTGTTCTCCTCCTACGATACCAGCAACCTGTGTACTTGCCCACACTGTCAAATACGACAATTCCTCGTTTGCAAAAAAAAAGTCATTAACACAACGAGTCTTGAATGAAATATGAGCAGTGCATGATATATTGATGTAACATTCCATGCAATGGTTCAGATACTCTCAAAAATCATAATGCAGTTTGGTTGTTGTTGGGAAAATAGTCCAGATGCCTGGGTTATTGTTCAGCCTCCACTTTCTGGGCTGGTGGTACGTGATTGGCAGTTTCAGTAATCATACTATGAGGACCACTCTGTGGTGGTAATGAAGCGGCTGGACCATGGTTTTCAATTGGATTCCCCGTCTGTGGCGGAGTCGGGGGTATTAAAACCTGGTGGCTGTATGGAGGGTATCGACTACCACCATTCATATCACCTGGATGCGGCGTCTCCGACCACTGACCCAATAGGTACTCCTTGTTAACACAGTTACGCAGATTTTCCGGTATCCGGCCTGTAATAGCACGTCTTATCTCTCCAGCGGCACTTTCACGTGATTCAGCAGAGCTTTGGGCACTATAGAAAGCTGAATGCGGGGTACAGATTAGATTCGGAGCATCTTTTAGTGGGCCAGTGCTGAAATTAAACGGCTCATTTTCATGTACATCCAAGGCAGCAGCACGAATTCGTCCCTCTTTCAAGGCATTTGCCAGGGCGCTCTCATCGATGAGACCACCACGTGCAGTGTTCACAAGAAAAGCTCCCTGTCGCATTTGTTTGATAGTGAAGTCATTGATGAGGTGATGGTTGTGTTCATTCAGATTACAGTGCAGTGAGACACAATCACTTTGGAACAACAAATCCTGCAAAGGAAACAAAAATATTCTAATTCATGCTTTATTTTCAACCATTCGATTTGTACAAATTTTGTTAGGTTATCAGATTGCACCAGTTAAGGATTTGACAATTACTGCGGTGTTCTCCCAAGATATTCAAACTAATGTAGTAGTATGAATTAACATACAATTTGCATAGTATTTGTATAATTATTCCAAACAAAAATTGTGATTATTACTGTAAAACACTTTATTTTTGCTTGGAATTAATTTTTGCTATTTTCACTGAAGGAATGATTCAGTGAAAATAAAATCGAACGTATATACCTTTTTCCAATATTTTTACATTCAACTTGTCAAAAATCAGTGAAAATAAATTCCATAAAAATCATCCAAAAAGTCTTTTCAGCGAAAATTAATTCCAGCTAAAATTTACTATTTTACAGTAACCTACTTAATTACACAATGCACAAAATTATTGACATACAAAACTGCTTAAAAAGTTTTACAATTACGCACAAGTTTTAAGTTTTCAATTTGATTTGAAAAATCAGCAATGGCACAGTGGCAGGATAATAATTGAGACAAGAAGTAAGACCAGTGTGACGATTAAAAAAAGCACTGTGGCATGCTTTTTGTATCCTGGGGAGAACACTGATTACTCTATATGCTTATAAGCACATCTCGTATGTAGTTATATATTATTTACAATTTACTTGTATAAAATTTATTAATATTATTTACTGCTTACATTGTTTATTCTTTTCTAGGGAACTATTTCCTGTGATACCCACTATAAGCAATTTATAAATAACTAATAATACGTATTTGTTTATTTATCAAATTCATTTGAGTATAATTATCTGTATGTTTTACAGTGAAATAAACTTCATTCATTCATATGAACCAAAATTTGGTCCCATTTCAAATTTTTTTTTATTTGATAATTTGTATTAAAGTATCAAATACTGCAAATAACTGGTGCAGCAAATCTGAATCAATATTCATGGCGTACGTAGGTTGCAAGACTTAATTTGAATCTAATTATAATGATTTGAGGCTATGACGTTTAGTTTAGTTTTTTTGCATAATGATATTGATACATTGTCATGGAACATCTTGTGAGTATTTAGGCTCCGTTCCAGGCCTAGCAGTTGAGCAATAAACACCTTGGCTACAAGTGCTCCTCTCCAGTGCATGACCAATACTGACTTGGTTCACTCTACCTTGAAAGGTCTATTCTCAGTTTACACTGATTTTGTACAAAATGACTTTCCGCAATATTAAAGTAATTCACAGTAGGAGGGAACTTTGTTATATATTCGAAAAACTTATTAAACTGGAAATTTACAAAATTAAATTCCAAATTTGTTTAAATATTATAATTCATATCAATAATATACAGTATTACCGGGTAGTACGCACTTACATAAACGACTGTAATGTAACACTGTAATGATTCAACATACAATATCTCTATTGAAGGTGCACTAACAATAGAGCAAACACGGCATGAACTTCTCATTCCATATCACAGAGCAAAATTTTAAGATAAGAAGATTCATTTCACCATAGAATCCTAATTGCAATGACTCTACTATACATAGATGAAAAAAAGAGGACATTCTGTTAATTCTGCCTGACCCTTCCCAATGTGCTTTACATCTTGACAGCAGTGCTTGCATCAACAGGAAGTCATATGAAAAGCATACTAACATACCTGCAGTGTGTAGACTCTAGTGAGTCCAAGAGATCTCTCAATACCTTCTTGTAGATATGGATCATAAAAAATTACATTAAAACCAAACACCTTGGCACGTAATGCAACGGCGGAGCCAGTACGACCTGTAACCAAAATTGTACAGCTTGGTTAGCTATGTATCCTTCAACAAATCATTCTGGGTGAGAATCTCTAAATTCAAGCTGACAAAAGGGATGTCCAGAATGAATTGAAATTGTACATGGGAGACAACTTGAGTTTTACACGTCATGAACCAAATGCCAAAACTAAACAACAAAATTCAATCCGGACAATCTATTTTAGATTAAATTTAAATTTACCAAGTCCAATAATTCCAAGTGTTTCACCACGAATTCTAGTTGCTCCATGCGCGGCTTCACGAATGTTTTCTGAAGTGGCTATTTTCTTTCCTTGTTTCACCATTTCAGCTAGCCAATGTGTGCGGCGATATAAATTCAGAATCAAACACAATGTGGAGTCTGCAACTTCTTCAACGCAGTACCCAGGTACGTTACACACTGCAATACCTATAAATTACAAGAACAGAAATAAAGACAAAATGAAGAGATTCAAATTCTGGGTTACTAACAGAGCAAATACGGTAATCCAGGTCGTTCAACTTAGTATAATAATGAATCAACTCACCCATATCACCGGCAGCCTTTATATCAATATTATCATAGCCGACGCCAATACGAACAATGATACGCAAGGCTTTAAATTTTTCTAAGTCTTCTCTGGTTAATGTAATAGTATGGTAGAGCAGTGCTCCAACCGCTTCATTAAGAACCTGATGAACAACAGAAAATAAGCTTATACCGGTAGTCTTGCACAACATAACGCAATAAAAACAAGCCATGTATGGCACAGTCCCTTTAGTTATCAAATATAAGTTATATAGTTTTGTTTATAGTAATATAGTACAAGTACTTGTTCACATTGAGAAATATTGCTCTGGAACAGCATTAATTAAAACAAAATGGCCACTGGTCGGCCATTTTGAATTTGATTGTCAAACCAATACATCTGTATATTTATGACATGATGTATTGAATATATAAAATTTGAACATAAACAGTCAAAGCATGTCAGAAATATGGCACTAGAACCACATTCATTAAATAAATTCATTTAAATGTACTTGGCCCAGGCATGTCTAAAATACAGGTACAGACACACACACACACACACACACGCACGCACGCATGAACGCACAGAGGTCAAACCACCAGTCCCTGTTTTCGTACTGCACCCGAACTGGGACTAATTAGCCCAGTCTCAGACACATACAAAAAAATATTTAGTTCATAATCTTGTACATGCTTGTAGTCATTAAATAATACTAGCGAATGGAATGTTACAATACCTTTTCATGTATTTCTTGCGTGGATTGCGCATCACAAAACGCAACCGTGGCAACATCCTTGAGGATGGGCATCTCAACACTACAATCCCTTCCATCCAATAGTGCTATCAATGGGCGTGGATGGATTGGGTTGTTAACACCTACAGCAGGGTGGCGAATATCTAAACAGTTAATAAAGTCAAAAACGTCACAAGTAGTGATATGTTCAATTACGGAATAAAGTGTGTTTGTGAGAGTGTGTGCAGGTTCACATGTTTATCATTATTTACCAAGTGCTCAAGTTCATTAGGTACACACGTTTTGTGTCACTGGTTTTTGGTTATCAAAAATGCCAAACACAATAAACAATACTGTTGATACAAACTAAGACAGCTTGCTTAATGGACTGTAAAACATTAATTTTCACTATTTTCAGACTTGGCAGGGAAACAATTTCTATTGTTATTTCACAAGTTCACATACATTTAATTAAGTAGATTTTACTTACTTAGCAAAATAAAAAAAACAGCGTTTACATTATTACCAGAGTCAAAATTGAAAAAAAACTGAGAAACTGATTGTCCAAGAATAATTTTAAAGAGGAATTCAATGATTAACAAATTCATTGAATACAAACACAAAATGCACACAAACAGAAATAAATCACTTTGACATCAGTGGCAGTGTCAGACAAGGCACCGTGGTAGCACCAGGGGAAACGCTTTCTCCTACTACAGTATTAGGTTTCTATGTAGCATTAATTATTTACTGGGTTTTAATTTCACTATTTTCATCGGTAAGTTAAATACGGTAAAATAAATCCATGTGAACATGTAAAATATGTCAAATTTAACTTTGTGAATTGACGCATAATACACAAATCCATACTTACTTTCTACAATTCTGTCGACGGACATTCTTGGCCTTTTATTTCTCCTGTTTTGGGATTTGTCCATAGGGGAGTTAGGCTTAACTGAGGAAATGTCTATCGTTATTGGCGGATCAAATTCAGGATCAGGTACAGGTACGTCACCTTCTCTTTTTTCTCCACCAACAAAATGACAACTACAAACACGTAACTGAGACAAAAAAAAAAAGCGACAAACTGTTAATCCCCTCAAATGTTGCAGCGCCCTCTTTTGGCAACTTACATTTATTGGAGGTTATCACTGAGGGCACACCAACAAACTTTGAGGATACAATTTCTGCCGTTGGTAAATTTGACTTTATTGATTTATTTACAGTGAAGCGTGCAACTGATGATTGTCAGGCAATAATTATCCTAATCACACTGGACCTCAACATTCAATTTTTGAATTTTGGGTCGCCTCGAATGCATTCACTATAAGCGTTTTTTTTATTGATCGAACAAATCTTTCATATACTTTAATTGAATTTAAATCACAGGCTGAGCTGGGTGGGGGAGGCATGAGGTGTTGGGTGGGTGTGTTGTTGCTCTGAAATGAGATCAAGAATATAGTAGAAGAGAAAGCCTACATTTTCAAGAAAATATATGGTTTACTTTTGGTGTCTGATTAAAAGAAACCATTCAGTGGACAAGTTACAACAATATGTGGACGAGTTCCACTATATACAAATCATGTCTTTTTGAATATAACTGCCTAGATATGCATTTTGACACAAATAACCCATCTCACTAAAATACATTTTTTCAATATTACACAGTAAAATCAAAAATGCACAACTTGCAAAGATCACAGACTGTCACCACCACATTACACACACAAGTTTACAATACGAGAAAGCCAAGGTATAAACACGTAACAGATATTAACATTACCTGAGCCAGCCACACGTTATACATGACCCACTTACCGTATTCACCAACTGACCAGTTCCTTTTTTAAGCCACACATGATGCTTGTAACACCAGATATCGCCAAATAAAACACTTACCTGGAGGTCAACTATATTAGCATCCGTATTAAAAGCTTAACACTTATTCAGTATGAATAATGTCTATACCACCCTCCTATAATACCATGTAAGATGTGATGAATGCACAAAGCATGGCGACCATCTTTACTAGTAAAAGCAAACTTGCTGCATACTATTTCAAGGAGACTTACTGGTACTGCACACTAATTAAAGCCGACTTACTGCACACTAATTAATGCCGACTTACTGCACACTAATTAATGCTGACTTACTGCACACTAATTAAAGCCGACTTACTGCACACTAATTAAAGCCGACTTACTGCACACTAATTAAAGCTGACTTACTGCACACTAATTAAAGAGGATTTGCTGTATAAAGCAGACTTACAACTCTGTATTAGCACTGAATCTGTTTCTGTTGATTATAAAGTAATTTAACTTGGTTATATTTCTCACAAAATGCACTGAATTATACATGTTTAAGAACAAAGACTTGCTTTACCAAACACCATAACTAATTGCAGTCCTCAGTACGGGACCCTCAAAGTGTGTGGCATGCAGGACAAAATTAACCCCCTTTTCCTGATCCATTAATTGTAAAAAAAAAATTAAATTAAGGATAGCTAGAATTAGGTTTCTTTGCAACTCTTGTACAATATTCAGCTTTTTTTGTTCCTGTTTATGGGCTGAAAAAACCTAATATAAATCAAATTCATTGTGAAAATCTGAAGTACGATACTATTTTTTTTCACATGAATTAAAAACATAAAATGACACTAGTCTCAACCAAGCACCACAAAAACTGAGAAAGTGTTCGGTTTAGATGCGAGATTTAACAGCCAAGAATTATCAAAAACTGTCAGTAAAGAAAATAGTACTTGAAAATGACATGTTTGAATTCTAGCATTTTCAAAATGGTCGTACTCAAAACGGAAAAAGCTGACTGACCCTTCTATCCCAATTTGTGCATTCTGTTATTCTTAATCTCACCAAGACCGATGGTCAAAATAATTTGGTGCCATAAGATCAGATTATTGTAATTACTCGCAGAATGCACTCGGTGACTTGGATGGGGTCAGATACGCACTCAGTGATAGTACAAGAACTCATACAAATGGCAGGCAAGCAACACAAAAAAACAAAACAGACACGGACAGTGGTACAGAGAACATGCACAATTTGTTGCCTTCAGCTAAAAACAAAAGATATTCTTTCAGTTTCAACATACACAAAGGCGACAAAAAACAAATATGGTGCTCACACCTGCACCACAATGACTGCCATATGCAAGAAACTTTGCTTTACAAGTAAATTCTTAACACGATTAATTATATCAAAGCTAACCCTACCTTATGCAGTCACCATGGAAATTAAGATCCCGAAAATGTAGGGAAATGCAATTAATAATATAAACATGGAAATGCTCAATTGCTTTCTTCATCAGTGATAATACAAACAGGCCCCAAAAAGTTGACATTATTGGTGAGAAAAACACATGTACATACAGCATATCAGTACATATTAGGAGCTGCAGCAGGGACGTACAAAGGCCAAGTATAACGGCGATTCACATCTCTAGTTTGGTGAAGAAAGAGAAACCTACAGTGTACACCTCGCATAATGTGAAATTTAAAAATTTGGCAATTTTGACCAATTTCCATGTTTCTTCTGTTGAGGTTTTCAGTGACACTGTTTGCATCACATGAGTCTGTTTTCAAAGTGAAGGATATACAATTCCAAACGATGCTTTGATTGCTTCCATAAACAGTTTTTTTTTTTTAACCAGGTAATGATGTACTACTGGTCAAATGTGAGGTATTGTGATCATGTGCAGGGAATTATTAGGCTGACATTAGGAAGGTAACTCATCTCCCTAAGCTACAACCATCCACTCAGATGGCAATACAAAAATTGAGTTAATATTGGTGAAAAGTAGCATCTTGAACAATTATTTTTCATTCGTGAAGCTTCCCTGAGCTGAAACATATCCGGGATGTTTCTACTATGACCAACATTTCAAATTTGGGTAAAAGCGAAAACATACATTGAGGTATACACAATAGGTATCTCTTCTTCTCCACCATTCACTACAGGCACCTTTCAAACGGTGTGAAAAGGGAAAATCTTTGCTTTATACCTTAATAAAACTCGGCTGTGTATCAGGACTCTTGTCACGGACGCTGTCTGTCAATAGCAGTTCAGCAGGGCCCCTATATACAATAAGATCAGTTCAAGTGCTAAAAATCATGACAACAGTGCACAACATCATGCAACGGACACAATTACATACAATGTTAACAATTTATAAAATCAACTTGGAATAATAAAACAAGTCTTTCAAAATAAAACTGGTGGTGCATAATAGTTATATAGCCACACATAAAAAAAAAAAAAGATGCAGCAAGATATCACCAAAACGAAATATAGCGTTGTGAAGATAGGTGCTCCTCCCTATATTGCTTACACCGACTACAAACTGGGTTAATAAGTAGGGAATAGAAAAGCAAAGCAAAGCAAAGCAAAGCAAAGCATGCTAAGAAAAATATGAGAAAAACAACTAAAACTTTTATTAGACAAAGAAGCAAGGCACTCCAGGGTTAATATGTTAATTGTTAAAACAAACCCTTACAAAGTAAACTATAGAGGGCGCTGGTCATGCCAAAGCCTTTCTACAGACAGTTGGTTGCACTAAGAGTTAAAAAAAAAAAATCCTCTGTTGACTAATTGGATACTAAATCCTGACATATAGCAAATGACATGACATGACAATGCCTAGACCTGTTTACCTACCAGCCATTGAGTTGTTAGTGGATTGGTTTTTAGCAAGGAGGAGGTAATAAGGACTTAACAAGCAAAGGTGAGAGATTGAATTAGTGGAAGATATCACCTACCCCAAAGCTACCACCGCCACCAGTAAGAGCGACCCGCCAACCTGCATGGTTGACTGGCTGGCTGGCTTGCATACTATAACACTATACACCACTAGGTCATTATCACACATGGAATTATTTATCTTTATAGCATGATCTATCTAATAAGTAAGCAGTCGCCACACTTTCATGATTGTACACCAAAACGAAACTAAATTATAATTCCATGTGTGGTTTGTATAAAAAAACATTGCACATAATGAAACAATACATTCTGGAGACTCAAAACAAGTAAATAACAATATGAACAAAATATCTACAGATATTAATCTGAAGTAATTTGGCTTAGGAATTTAACATTGTTTATTTTCTATCTTTAAATTCACACAAATCTCCAAGTAAATGTTGAACGCATGACAGGCTGAAGGATTCCAGATTGTATTGTTTCGACAATATAAAATATTCACATAATATTTCAATAACAGCAATATAGTGTCTCTGTTTTCTGATCAATCCCAATAGAAATTTAACATGCAATTCTTGTATAGTTTCAAGACAATGGATCCTTGATGATAGTTGTTTATGAAATATCTCCAGGGTATAAAATAACTGCTTCAAACAAATTTATTGAACACCTTCAAGTATTATCGCGGCAAAGTATAATGGTTTGATATGCAAATCTTTGAGTAAATTGATCAGTTCCTAATATAGGTACTGTATTTACTCTATTAGCAGTGCATGCCCTTATTTACAGAGGTGTTTGTATAGTCAAAATGAGTATATTCAACAAATATGATTTTTGGTCTCTACATGCTTATTTCGGAAAGGTGCTTCTGATAAAACAAAAAACAAACATGGTATTTGAAACAAATCAGAAATCAGAGAAACAAGTATATAAAAGTACCGTACTTCAATACCAATGATATCCTAGTCGAAAAATTAATAACACACACTTGAGATTGTTTCAAACTAAAAAAGTTTCAAAAACTTAATTCTTTGAGTGTCAGAATTTTTTCTGGGCAGTTTTCATGCAACATTTGCCTGGTACTACGCATTTTTTCCTTTGATAGTTTTGAACCAAAGAGATAAAAATTTCTATTGAATACAAGACTTCATCAAAATTAGGAAAAAAATTAGCAAAAATTCATGAATGTTGTCGAAAGTTGACTTTGTCACTCAAAGGATTAATCTCTAAAATTCAGAAATTTTGAGGCAAGTACTTATAAATTACATGGCAGGAGAAATGTTGGTAGTGGAGATTTAAATTGTAGACAAATTAACGATTGAATACTGATGTTTAATTGGCAGCATTTTAGATGTACCTGACCAACAATGGTTTCTTCAGTCCTTCCAATAGCTTCTAACCACCTCTCACGTAATATAGCGGGTTTCTTAGGCACACGATAAAAATGGCGTGGGTCGTCAGATCCCTTGTAACGTGAACGAAACTTGCAATTAGGAAACCCACATGTTGTAGGCATGACGTTATAACAGACCTATCTGCAATAGAACAGAAAAGAAGCGCAAATATGAAGTGATTGTAATACTAATTTTCATCATAATTTACATACATTGAACTGGATAGTCAAAACAACTCGGCTGTTTTAGCAAAGCACAGTCTTGCAATAATAAATGCCCTCATAGCTGCATTAGTAGTGTTCACACTACGTGAAATACGGGCTAAGATTTAAGCTAATTTAAGCCATGTTTGCATATTGGTTAGACCCAATTGCATTCACGCACAGAAGGAAACTTGTTAGCACCAAGGAATGCCTAAACTTGTTAAGAATATACAACAATCGTCAGTCATTTTAACTATGATCACTCAGTACACTAACTAGGAAGATTTACATTATGGTGTAACATTATGCCAATTGGGAGAAAATTCGGAAAAATTTGTGAGAAAATACACCTCATTACATGGAACACTTTCACGGGGTACTTTGAACTGAAATCATCATTCAACCTAAAGAGCCAATCAATGACAGTCGAAGATTCAAATCAAAATTCAAAGATAATCTGTGAATTTTACACTGGCATTTTAAACTTTAATCTGGGAGAAAATTCACTTAAATAAGATAATGATGCAAAATCAAGACAGTTGAATCACACAAACACTCGGTTAACTTGATTGAATGCTCCCTCTTTACGCACATTAGCATAAAACCAACATTTTGGAGGACACAAGTATTTATTACAAGAGTGGAAGCAGAAGAAGACTGCACATGATATTGAAATATTGAAACTCTTTGTCTCCACCTCCACTGCTTCTCAGCAGTGTTTGGGATAGTCAATCCATCCCACTGGTCAAAAATCACTGCAAGTAATTTGTTAAATAGAAAAAAAAAGTGCACACTATTTGTCAAGATAAAGACGCAATAAAATGTTTTAGAATTGTTACTGTTGGGGGGGGGGGGGGAGGCTACACCCAAAGCTTCCTAGATTTAAATATAGGCATATACAAACACATTGAATGCTGTGATTATAATATTTATGTGTATATTAAAATAACAATACATCAAGAATAGATCTGTCAAAATTATACAATAAGCCACATGATCCATGCATGATTTCCTTTTTTACAATAAACTTTTATGGTTTAGATTATAATATTTATTAGAAAACAGAATTCTCGAACACTACTACAAATGTCTGGTAAACAGACCACACCTAATGCTGGTGTAAGCAAGTCTCTGCAGTTGACCAATCACAATGACCCATTGAAACATATGAAATAATGGAACAATATACAAATTTGATATGAAATCGCATGCCCATATACAGATTATAACTACTTCAATAAACAGACTGTGGGGGCTACACAAAAAGGCAAGTATTAAAAGTTAAGACGCAAGCCATGAATATACATATAGACAAGAAATGATTAAATTTTCATCACGATGTGGGAACAAAGACACATTGAATAATACCAATATAATAGTATTTGACCCCCTGAGAGAAAAGTGACAATAATAGTCATATACCTTCCAATTACATGCACGGCACGATCCAGTTCCAATATGATTGATATATACACACACACTCACACACGCACACACAGAGGGTATTTAATTTTACGTCAATATGCATCGAAGACACTATATTGTCACTTTAAAACCATCAGAGAATGACAAATATGAGCCGTATGACAGGTTACATATAATATACATTGTAGGCAACAGCGCTGTAGAAGCTAAGACTACTGCATTATGTATATCCTGTGTTTGCTGATGGCAATATAAGTTAACTTTTTATGGTGATAAATCAATGACGACATGTAGATTATGAGCAGTTAGTTATAGCTACAGAAGAGAAATTGACGTAATGTACAGACTGTTATTCTAATTATTCATCAGATAATATACACCAAATATAGTCACAAGTAATTGGCATACAAACAATAAATTTACATATTTGCTTATTCCAATCAAAGTTAGGGAAGTATTACATTTTTCAAGTGCCCTGAGGACAAAAAAAATATTGATTAAAGCCTATTTTTGTCAAGATAATTCGGCATAGATTAATTAAGAATTTTGATTTGATTCAATGAGATCAGAAAGTAAGCTTACACTGTATTATGCTACACACGCAAAGTTTTTTTTTATTCTTGTCACAGACGACACCAGTCTCCAAAGATAGAGCTTTTAGTACATATCGGCATACAAATCCTCATTGTAGGTACCGGTTAGCCAGGAAGGAAGCGAGCGAACAGACATGTCATAATGGGCGGTATTATTGACACCAAGATAAAGAATTCCAGTTTTGTTGCAAGAATACAAAGTAGCAGATGGTATAGCCCAATTCTTCATCTTCTATGCAATGATGAATACTTCATGCATTTTAATCACCATGGTAATCTCTTCCATCAGACGCACAGACAAAGGTGTACTTAGCACACGGCAACTATCTTTGTTGAATTTAAATCGGAATATTTTCAAAACTACAAATTTGTTACTGATAAATGGCTTCATTTTGGACAAATATTGAAGAAGTTTACATAAAAAGATAAATACTGGAGTCCAGTTTAGCATAAAAGTGGTGCAAAATTATGTATATTTTTATTCATTTCTCTCTTGCATGAATATGGCTTGGGTGAGGAGGTTAATGTAGTCGAGAAACATTACTATAAAGCTGCTATCAATCACTGACGTTTTCTATTAAATACTGGGGCTTTTTGTGTGTTTTTTTTTTTTCTAGAGGAGTACGTCTACATGGTGGTGCTAAGCGTGAATCACAAATATTCACATATCAAAGAAGATTACGGCGATGAAAAAGGACAGGTTCAACTGGAAATGCTGACATCACTTAACCCCTCCACTGAAAGAAAGAAATCTAATCTACATGGCAAATAATTATCAATATTGGGAAACCCATATTAGGTGTTTTGGTATTGAAAATATCAAGTAAATTAGATGTCTGTGGGCGAAAACAGCAAGATTCTTTCAGCAGGTGTTTTTTTTCTGAATAACTTGTTACCATTATGCACTTACTAGGAATCTGACAAAAGTATTTTTCACGTGATGATCAAAACCACCAGCTAGAAAATTGTCATTTTCCTGTCACTTGCACAAAGCTGCTATAAAATATGCTTAAATGTTACCGGAAACTAAGTGATCAAGTAGTTATAAATTAATCCAGTCAAATATTAAGTTTTTTTTTTTAAAAGCTGCAGCAGAACTAGATTTATCATCATGCTAAGTCTTGTAGAATGCACAACACAATGTTGGTTTAAGGGACAACGATGTAACATCAATATTGGGCTGGGTACCCGGCAGTTAAGAAAGTGGCAGAACAATTAGGCACCACACTGTTTACGGTTTTTTATTTTTAAAGTTCATGATCATGTGTTATACATGGAATGTAAAATGAAAATAGGACAAACAAAGGCCATAATAGCCTTGTCGTAATGTCGAAATATGTCGGATCCGACAAACGCAGGAATTCTTTTTTTTAGAATGTTCTATACACGTTTGCCATGCCATTCCACCTCTGAAAGAACTGTATTTCTACATTAATGTATGAAAACATTCAAGTACAAATAAAATCATTTGATTGTGGCGGGTTTTCAGCCCAGGCCTTTCACACATAAAGCAAGATATCATGGAAATACTGAAAATAGTCTCACATGTGAACACATACTGCTTCTAATATTAAATGTTGAATTGCAAAACAGTTGAACTTGTGTAGCCTGCTGCAGTTCATAAAAAAACAATTTAGAACGTAATGATCAGATGACTAACTCATGAAGATGTTCAATTGGGACAAACAAATAAGTAAACAAAAATTAAACAAATAGTGTCAGACATATTTATAACTTATTGCAATACCGTAATTTAGGAAGGACTAAGAGACACAACAAACTAATGCAATTAGGGTTAAAATTGTTGCTAGCCTCTGCGCGCTGTTGTCTTAATTGATTAGTTAGTTCTATTTACAGTAAGAAACTTGTAATCTTGACAAACTATTGTAAATTCTAAATCAGTAACCAAAGTAGGAATCACAGAACAAGGAATTGGTAATGAGAAAGATACTGCAAATCATGCCTGTACAAAATGTTTTTAAAGTTAAGCTTTACTGTAACTGTGACTGTGACACGCAAGGACATCAGAACCATTTCTGTTAGGATCAATCACTCCTTGGCAGAGAAACCATCCTATGTAACCTAATCAAGACAACTAATGGTACCAAATATTAGCACAGGAAATCACGGCCTGGGGTAGCACAACATACACTCTTGTTGACTTTTTCTACTCCTTGATCAGACTTTTATCTTGGGAGTTTATTAGTCTGACTCAATGAGTGTAATCTGACACAAACCAGGGTGAAGAAAGTCAACCAAGAAGAATTCTTAGTGTGTCAGTTTTCAACATGGGTATTTACTTTGGAAAATGGTTTCCATGCTTGCGTCTTTCTATCTTTGTATTTGCACAACGTGCGAGAAAGCTGAATTCCATACAACTGTCAAGCTTCTCACTTTTAGCCTTTTATGGCACTAGCTGGTTTCTTTGATTTCAAACTAATTCATCAGAATTCGTTGTTCAATGTAGAAATCATAAAGACTGGTAAACCATTTCAACAAATCAGTATTAATTTCTGGGTTGTATGCTGTTATGGTGAAATAGAGTTGAATTCATGACCATTTTGAGGGGACAAGATATAGCACTCGCGCGTCTAATGGATTTAATACATTAAGCTCATTTTGCCAGATTGGTTTTGTTTATGGTCTCAGTGACATTAAGCAACCGAACAATAGTGTTAAATTTGAATACAAATTTGGATAAAAAAGTTGATTTTTGAATTATTGTCGGTATACACTGTGCAATTTACATCGCAAACCTGACACTACAGTATTGTACCCAATTTCAATTTCAACAAAAAGGATAGTTGGGTTGGCAACCAAGAAAAAAAAATAAAAAGCTCAATGCAGGTTATTTATATTCACAACAAGCACATCACTTGCACGCAAGTACTGTAACATAACCCACTTACCGATGCACCCG